GGAATCAAGTGCTCAAAAACACTTGAAATGTTGACAGTGGCATACGGCGATTGTACTCTGAGTCATAAATATGTTTACAAGTGGTACAAGCTTTCCACAGAAGGCTGAGAAGATGTGAATGACGACATTCGTCCTGGACGCTCAAGCACATCAATAACCGGTGTTATTGTTGAGACGGTGAAGAAAATTGTTATGGAGAATTGTCGAATTACCAATAGAGAAGTTTCTGAAGATGTCGGCATATTGGTCCACTCATGCCATGCAAATTTTTCAAAAGTTTTGTGTATGAAGCGATTGGCAGTCAATTCCATTCCAAAAGGGCTGAATTTTGATCAAAAAACCATTTGCAACAGTCAACGTCATCATAACTGATGACGAATCATGAGTATATGGTTATGACATATCGAAACCAAAGTCCAATCGTCCCAGAGGAAGAGCCAAGACCAAAAAAGCATTTCAAGTCCTATCAAATGTCAAAATTCTGCTACTGTTTCCTTTAATCACCGTGGCGTAGTGTATCAGGAGTTCTTACCGTAATCCTGCCATTGTATTCACCAGATTTGGCCCCCTGTGACTTTTTTATTCACACGATTGAAGATACCCATGAGAGACAACGTCTTCGACGATTGAGGAGATGAAAACTGAATCGTTGAGAGAGCTCGAGGACATACCAAAAAGTGCATATCAGAACTGTTCCAAAGATTGGAAAAAATGCATTATATCTGAGAGGGACTTACTTTGTAGGGGACAAAATAGAAATTGATGAATAAATAAATATTATTTGAGGAAAATGAAAATTCACCCTATGTTTTGAACAGACGACGTTTAATATATAACAATTTGAGTCCTCCTACCTACTTCATGACTAATAATTTTACCTGATTTTAGATTTGAACTTATTCAAAATTAGAACTATATGGAAGAAATTTCACCAACGCATTGAATGAACATGTAAAAACTGAATACCCGTTTCCACATTAACGAAAATTTTATAGAGGGGAAGTATTTTACCACTCAGTAAATTTTCAGAATTCTGAAACTTAATAATTTCCAAGTATTCTAGAAGATTCAGTTTTGAACCTTTCTCTTCGAAATGTAACATGTCAGAGTCGTTGAACTCGTGTTCCTCTGCCAAAAGCCGGTTTGCAAATGTGGAATTGGTTCTCACATTCAAGAAATTACTCCTATGTTAGTTAATTAAAAACAATACAGACAAGATATATCATAGCAGGGGAGCCCACGATGCAAAATGGGGATTTACTCGAGCGTCATTGAGACATATTAGGTTGCAAAGCTTAGATGATAAAAAAAAATGTTATATAATATGTACCTTTTCATCGGTGGGGGAAGCGGCTATAGATTTTAAAATATGTAAAAAATACTGTTGCATGGACATACTCGAGCGCGTCAGATATTGATAGCATCAATGTCCTACGTATTTTTGATAATGTTGGTATGTTAATCTGATCGTTTGCATGATGTGGGTGGTTGTACGTAAGGGTTAAAAGTGAAAAGTTTACAAGTGGTACAAGCTTTCCACAGAAGGCTGAGAAGATGTGAATGACGACATTCGTCCTGGACGCTCAAGCACATCAATAACCGGTGTTATTGTTGAGACGGTGAAGATAATTGTTATGGAGAATTGTCGAATTACCAATAGAGAAGTTGCTGAAGATGTCGGCATATTGGTCCACTCATGCCATGCAAATTTTTCAAAAGTTTTGTGTATGAAGCTATTGGCAGTCAATTCCGTTCCAAAAGGGCTGAATTTTGATCAAAAAACCATTTGCAACGGTCAACGTCATCATAACTGATGACGAATCATGAGTATATGGTTATGACATATCGAAACCAAAGTCCAATCGTCCCAGAGGAAGAGCCCAGAAGAGCCAAGACCAAAAAAGCATTTCAAATCCTATTAAATGTCAAAGTTCTGCTACTGTTTCCTTCAATCACCGTGGCGTAGTGTATCAGGAGTTCATACCGTAATCCTGCCATCGTATTCACCAGATTTGGCCACCTGTGACTTTTTTGTTCACACGATTGAAGATACCCATGAGAGACAACGTCTTCGACGATTGAGGAGATGAATCGTTGAGGAGATGAATCGTTGAGAGAGCTCGAGGACATACCAAAAAGTGCATATCAGAACTGTTCCAAAGATTGGAAAAAATGCATTATATCTGAGAGGGACTTACTTTGTAGGGGACAAAATAGAAATTGATGAATAAATAAATATTATTTGAGGAAAATGAAAATTCACCCTATGTTTTGAACAGACGACGTTTAATATATAACAATTTGAGTCCTCCTACCTACTTCATGACTAATAATTTTACCTGATTTTAGATTTGAACTTATTCAAAATTAGAACTATATGGAAGAAATTTCACCAACGCATTGAATGAACATGTAAAAACTGAATACCCATTTCCACATTAACGAAAATTTTATAGAGGGGAAGTATTTTACCACTCAGTAAATTTTCAGAATTCTGAAACTTAATAATTTCCAAGTATTCTAGAAGATTCAGTTTTGAACCTTTCTCTTCGAAATGTAACATGTCAGAGTCGTTGAACTCGTGTTCCTCTGCCAAAAGCCGGTTTGCAAATGTGGAATTGGTTCTCACATTCAAGAAATTACTCCTATGTTAGTTAATTAAAAACAATACAGACAAGATATATCATAGCAGGGGAGCCCACGATGCAAAATGGGGATTTACTCGAGCGTCATTGAGACATATTAGGTTGCAAAGCTTAGATGATAAGAAAAAAATGTTATATAATATGTACCTTTTCATCGGTGGGGGAAGCGGCTATAGATTTTAAAATATGTAAAAAATACTGTTGCATGGACATACTCGAGCGCGTCAGATATTGATAGCATCAATGTCCTACGTATTTTTGATAATGTTGGTATGTTAATCTGATCGTTTGCATGATGTGGGTGGTTGTACGTAAGGGTTAAAAGTGAAAAAAAAAATAATCGACATTGCAACACCGAAACAACTGTTAATTTTTAAAGAAAAAATCGCACTCGATGAACAGGTAGAATTTAGATTATTTTACCTACTTGCTGAATTGTTGTCTGAAATCATTTGAAGGGATTGAATTACATCAGTTTCATTCAATTTCGTTCATGTTTTGATGTCAAAACAAAAAAAAAATCTTCTTCAATTATTACGGAAGATACGGGAATGTTTCCATGATACCTAAGTGAAACAAATTCGGATTTTTCAGGACTGAAATTTTTCCAGGAAAAAAGTGTAATCGTAGTAACTTGGTAGTCCTGATCATGAATCTGAAGGAATTTTGAGCCTATTTTGCCCCCTAATATGTTTAACCTTAAAAATGGGGTGTTCTATCGCGAGTGGCGGACAGTGTATATCACTTTGGCCAACCACATTCAGGTGGTAGATGCATTTTGAGCATTTCCATCAGTCCAGAGAGTGTCATCGTTCTACCTCGAATTTTACGGAAGATACGGGGGTGTTTCCATGAGAAGTGAGACACACTGTATAGCTGGCAGCCTCTGGTTTCTCTTCCCCGCATCTTGCGTGTCTCAGCCTTGCTATCGCTTCGCATTCACAGAACACATGCAGTGCGGTTTTTTCCTCTTCTTCACAGAACCTGCATTGGGTTTCTTCTGTCAGACCCATGTTGCTAATATATTTCCTGAGTTGGCTATGCCCCGTTAGTTGACCCACCACTACCCTTACAACACTCTTCAAACTATCAATAACGTGGACTGGTTTTCCATCATAGCAAAGAATGAAATGTAATACCCTTCTCGGGTCGAAGTTGATGACTAAAAATGATTTAAGTTGGTAGCATAAAATATGATATCATCAACCGTCACGAAATCAATTTTCAATAAGAAGTGACCATTGACGACTTGTGAAGTTGTCATCTGTGGGATTGACAGTTGGCTTAACCCCGTTCATCTAAGATGAACAAGGATTCCATGGTATCATCTAGAAGTATATTCATAGTGAAAGTTACAAAGAAACAAAAATGACCTCCACCTCCACTGATCCTCAATTTGAGGATCAGTGTCAAACTATACTTTCCAACATACCGCCTTCAGGAGCCACATTCATGTTGATATTCGTGGTTTAATTTTTTGTTGATCCAATTGAATGCGACTTCCTTAGTACAATCGTCATGATCACTGCCAGCCTTATATCACTGATAACTGAAACCGTTTTATCTAATATTGGATAATGAATTTTTTCGGACACCATTAATTTTTGATAAGAAGAGTTTCGGTTTTCTATTCTTTGTATGGGATTCCTCATACTCGACTTCATTATTTAATAATTGTCATTGAGAGTGAAATCATTAACTGGAAAATCATTTGAATATGCTGAAACGAAATTAATTTATCAATTCGAAAATTTCTATATACAATGATTTTATCTATGTAAGGCCCTAATATTTTATCAGTTTACTAGTTTAGTGATCCAACAATTTTTCTGAAGAAAAGTTGGTTGGGTAACAGGATCAATTTTTTCATAAAAAACTATTGTTTTCATGCAAGAAAACAACCCAACAAACCTTTCTTCACTAATATTTTATATTTCTTGCAATNCTTTCTCAAGGCGATCGGTCGCAACTACAAACTTCGACATCAACCGCCGAAGATTCGCCCTCTGTCTCCCATTGCAGCTTTCACTGCAAGACAACTAATTCAAATCAGAGCCAAAAAAACATGATTACACACCAGCCCCATCATAGTCTCATCAGTGGTGCAAGGCGGAACCACGAATGCATTGTTGAACTCGACTGTTATTAAAGGACAAACCTGAGTAAGGAAGGGGAAATGTCATCGCCTACTTTTCAATGTGAACATTGAATTATATCAAAATCAATTTTCAATCAGCTACTAGTATTTGTGACCTTATACAGATAAATTTGCTCCTCTGAAGGTACTTGCAATTGTATAATGCATTTATCCTGAATGATTTCTATTTTCATACTTGTTTTTGATATTTTTGGCAGGATCGGTTGGGACTGCAAAAAATGAGCGACGACTCCAAGCTCCACTTTCTGTCAGTTGAAGGGGATCATCTGAGATTCAAATGGGAATGGTTTGAGGAAAACATTCTGGAACCATTCTTAAAGGACTGATTCTCGGCTGAATTTCAAACTGCACGCAAAAAATTTAGTAGTACCCGAAATAATTTATATTTCATTGACTTCATACTCAGTTCTGTCAAAAATTCAATACATACTTATTCAATAAATTATTTTTATTGTGAATCAGAAACGGATGTGATGCTTTTAAAAAATCACCAAATTATTTATGAGTTTCTACCAAATTTAACCAATGAAAAATACTATATGTTCCTATTTTACTGAAATGATCAACACATTGTATAAAATGTTTAATTCATGTAATAAAAGTTCTTTTATTTTTCCTCATTTGTCATTGAAATATCTATGTGAGATAGTTAGGGATGTTTTTTTTCTAGATCCTTTTACTGAGATTAAGATTGAGATAAAGTAAATTGAAGGTAGAAGTGAAACCGCTGGCGTAAAATGATCACCTGATGACGCCAACTTGGTTATCCAAACGAGTAAGAAGAGTGTTGAGAGTTCTAGTTTGTGACAGCAGTATTTGTGTGGGAGATGTGAGATGATACTGAACCAGCATATCAACCAAAAAAAATTCTAATTAGTTATAAGTTGATATGAACAGCGTTTGTTTAATATTCAAGGTTAATTTCTGCTCTGAACGAACCAAATATATTTTCGATTATAGAAGGTCGTTATGGAGAAATATGAGTTGAAAAATAACTATCTTTCCAATTTGTTTGGGAAAGAAAACGTTTCCTGGATCTTATTAAGTAATATTCTATTGTGAGATTTTCACTGAACACTTTTCACAACCGCAACCTGTGTTTCACTATACAAGGGGTGTTCATACTAATTCTACTTAATTAGTGCTTTAGTGAACTGTTCGAAAAAGAAGGTGAATGTTCAAACGCTGGCTACGTACTTTCGATTGTCGATTTTTTTAATTGTTGGAATACTTGTCTCGAACATATGTTCACAATTCCAGCTGTTTAGTATGATCAGTTTGTTGATAAAAGGCAGAAGTGTTCTACTATTTTCTGCTATCGAAAAAATTGATCACAAAGAATTTGCATCGAATTGTGTGTAAAAAATGGAATCAAGTGCTCAAAAACACTTGAAATGTTGACAGTGGCATACGGCGATTGTACTCTGAGTCGTAAATATGTTTACAAGTGGTACAAGCTTTCCACAGAAGGCTGAGAAGATGTGAATGACGACATTCGTCCTGGACGCTCAAGCACATCAATAACCGGTGTTATTGTTGAGACGGTGAAGAAAATTGTTATGGAGAATTGTCGAATTACCAATAGAGAAGTTTCTGAAGATGTCGGCATATTGGTCCACTCATGCCATGCAAATTTTTCAAAAGTTTTGTGTATGAAGCGATTGGCAGTCAATTCCATTCCAAAAGGGCTGAATTTTGATCAAAAAACCATTTGCAACAGTCAACGTCATCATAACTGATGACGAATCATGAGTATATGGTTATGACATATCGAAACCAAAGTCCAATCGTCCCAGAGGAAGAGCCAAGACCAAAAAAGCATTTCAAGTCCTATCAAATGTCAAAATTCTGCTACTGTTTCCTTTAATCACCGTGGCGTAGTGTATCAGGAGTTCTTACCGTAATCCTGCCATTGTATTCACCAGATNATTTGTAACTAACTTTACTGTAGTTTCGTCCTATAAGGACATTTTCAAACTTATACATTGTATTCGATTTTTTCGAAATACATTTGAATGAATGCCTTTTTGCAAACTTAACACAAGTCGATACATTCTGTTAGCATCAAAAGTATGTGCTCGGGATTGGATGAAGTCGAGTGAGGCTGTTTTGCCTGGTTCTGATTTGCGAAGATTCTGCCGGTGAGAAAGTTATCGATGTGCTTGAAAAGATGGTTGGCGAGAGGCCTGGGGTGTATGGTGAGTGAGGCAGAACTTCGACACTGAATTCGTTACATTTTCGGACGGCGACTCGTGAAATTTTGAAGCTCAGATCAGACTTTCTTTGGAGTATTATTATCATGTATGGACCTTCGCCCCCAAACATACCCTGAATCTGCTGGATTCCATCTAGAAAAGAGCCATTCGCCTGATTGGAGAGGCGAACATCACCTGCAACCTTGATAGTCTGGAGATTTGTCTCTATTCTATAGATACTTTCACGGGAAGTGTTCAAGTGACTTGGCACTTTTGATTCCACCAAGAGCGGTACATATCAGAAATACGCGACGGAGGTTCAACTTAGTACACCTCGAACTTCACTGTTTAAGAAATTTCTCATTTGGAGAACAGCGATTCAAATCTATTGGGAATCACTAGTTTCGCACAGGCACCGCACTGAGAGCGCCTTTGGGATTTTTCTGTAGTGCTTGTGTTTTGTCCTAAAAAAATATATACTCAAGGTATTGATGCATATCTACGAGTATATATATGAAATAGTTTTGTTTCATTCATTACTTCAAAATAACTTCATACTAATATTTATTATTTCTATACTGTTCCTTAGATACGATGATTTTCACTAATTTCACTCGACTAATGTTGAATGATCAAGACCAAGGCCTCCAGTGCTTGTCGTTCTTTAAAATTTACAGCGAAGGTTGATAACACAACACTACTTTTATAAACAATTAGTTTCTGTTAGTTCATCAATCATTAGTTCAAAATGACAACAACTATATATATCGTGTTGTGTTTAAGTTTTCTGAATTTTGTTTTATGTGAACATGATTCCATAACCCCAATTGTACTGTGGCACGGAATGGGTAAGTTAATAATTCGAGTAGATATGTTCATTCTTGGAGTGTTTCAATGGAAAAAACAATATTATGACTATTGGAAAGAAATTTTGTAAGCTATTGCATGTTCTAGATCATAATTGACATAAATTACTGTTCTATGTAGACTATTTAAAACCGCTTCACTATCAGCAGGGACGTGACCGGCAAGTGAGCCATCGAGCAAAAAAATCCAGGTATTTGATGGATCCGATGCATATTAGACCGGCGCGTGAAAGAGTCGGCGCATTCAATGTGCTCGCCGACGCCAAACCATAATGCCACATTCAAATCAAAAATCAAATCAAACTCTATTCAATCATTTATTCCATAATTGTCATTTATACAATTCATACAGGCCGTTTCTTTTATCATGTGGTAACATTGCTATATTCTAAACCGTAACAGATACAAAGACGAGTAAATGGGAAAAAAAAAGAACTGTCATCGAGAACAATTCAATGGTCGAAGAAAATTTACGAGGACTCTCGCCCTTCTCAAGTTATACGGGGAAAACCAAAAATGCTGTTTTTGATTTTTTTCGAGAATGGAATTGTTATTTCTGAGAATATTAAAAAATGGAAAACACAAATTTTATTCTATTCGAAGTGTACCATAACGATTCAATAATAAATATTCGATAAAACGTTTCGTGTCAACATGGCCACCATCAACTTTTTTTTTAATACAGACCTGTCTTTTTTATTACAGATATTGATAAAGCGATAAATTCCCAATCCAAGGGTATATCACATTTGATATTTGTATAGCGTTTCATTTGAAATAATCACCATCATCAGTGACAACAATGAAACAGAAAAACAATTTATTTTATCATGAACTTTTGGAAAAAATAAAACCAATACGGAAAATCAACATTAAATGCTCGAATTGACGACCTCTTTATTGAATGCACATAAGTTGTCGGACCAGACAATTTCTGTGGCAATTTTCTAGCATAACAAGTGTAATACAAATACATGCATCTCTAATTTTTTGTTTAAGATGGTCGATACCTGTACTTGGTGTTGAAAAAACTTTATCCTTCATGTATCCCCAGACAACAAAATCTAAAGGAGTAAGATCTGGGGATCAAGCTGGCCAGTTAATTGATCCATTATTTCCGATCCATTTTGTTGGGAATATTGTATCTAAATGTTCCCTGACTATTGCTGCATTATGGGGAGGAGCACCACTGTCCTGTTGAAAATATTGCATTTCATGGCGGATATTCAGTGGCAGTTCATCTTAGCAGCCATCTGATTCATTGAATAGAAAATGGAGATACATTTCACCATTCAAATGATCATCGTAAAAAAAGGGCCAAGGATGTTTGTTGGCACAATTCTCAACCAAACATTTATTCCGAACCTTTCTTGGAAATTGGTTTCCCTGTGTAAATGTTCATTTGTATTATTCCACCTATAATGGATATGTCTGTTAAACCCACCATTGTTGGTGAACTTTGATTCGTCCGTCCATATTCTTTCTTCACAAATATTTCCAACTTCACCATCGCTACGTCTTAACCACTTCGCAAATCGTACCTACTCTCCTTCCGTAATTCCTTTCATTGAGGTGATGAACTTCGCGTATCCTGTAGCATTTATATTTGTTCTTTTTCGAAATGGTTCTTGTGTATTTTACAGAAATCCCCATTTCGTGGGCAATTTCTCGTAAAAAACAATCTTTATTATCATAATTTTTGTGACTGGCCAATCCTTAAGTAAGAAAAACAGTGGTTCACTGTGTAAATTTGTATGTGGTAGTATTTGCTTACCCATACCATTTATTTGATTCCTTACACTTCCAGTAACCACACATTTTCTTGTTTTCTTTCTGTCAAATGCACCATAGTCCCTCAAATTTCTTTCTAATCGTCTAAACATTTGGATGTTCGGAATACGACGATTCGGATATAGCTCAACATACATATTCCTTGCCAAAAGAGGATTTCTATTTTATTTTGCATAACTAAACAGCATATCAGTCCTTCCGTCATTTGAATACATCTTTGATATATTCATAAACGTCTGACAGTTCTCAACAGATCTCGTATCAATCAACAACGCATTCATTTTTCCGGCCATTGAAACCAAAATGGTAGTAAATAAATTGAGATGCTATTTGGTGTGCGTAGAATTTCTTTTGAAAAAAATAAGACAATGTAATTTCTCATCTAACATCATGAATTGGATCAAATCCTACATGACGGGAAGAACTATGTATGGCACTAGTAATAATGTACTTTCTGATTCTCATGCCGTAAAACTTGGTATACCTCAAGAATCTGTTATCGGACCACTACTTTTTCTCCTATATGTTAACGACATGCCGCAACATATAACAACAGGTTATGTTACAATATTTGCCGATGATACTACCATTACCGTATATGGTTCAACTGTTGAACAACTTGCTTCCAACATGAAGACCGTGATCGATGATTTCAGTTCCTGGTGTCAGAGAAACAAACTAATCCTTAACATCTCGAAGTCAGTGGCTGTGAAATTATCCCCGTAAATTTTCTTCGACCATTGTATTGTTCCCGATGACAGTTACCTTTTTTCCCATTCAATCGTCTTCGTATCTGTTACGGTTTAGAATATAGCAAAATTACAACATGATAAAAGAAACGGCCTGTATTATTGTTACAGATTAATAATCCTGTACAGAAATTACCTAAGAATAAATGCTTCTAGTGCATATTTCTGCAGGAGAAAAGGTAATTTTTTTGTTTTTTTAATTTTAATGCTTTAATGTTTGGAGAGGTGCAAACTGATCGGGCCCAGGGATTTGAAAAATTTCATTTTTCATCATTTTCTGTTGAAAATATTAGCGAATGAATGATACATGGGTATTTTTAGTAAAATTGAGTGAAATTGAAAAGTGCATTTTTATTTTATCATTTATTTTTATAACTGGCATAACATAACTGACCTGCAAGGTCGCCCAACTTCAACCTAGTCCATTACCGTTTTCAAAAATGCAAACAAAGTTTCAATATCCTGAAGAGAAGTGTATTGTTTTGAACTGAACCAGTCCGGACCTGGATTTCAAGTGTTATTCATACTCTATTCGGCTCTATATTGTAGAAACAATAATATATGTAGTAGATATGAAAAATGTAACACACTGTTTTTTTTCGTAATAAAAGTGCCCATTTCAAACAATTCGTCTTGATAGGAATTAATTGATGTTTTTTATAATAGGTGAAAGTAGCTGCTTTCCATTTGTCACAGGAATACTTATCGAAAATCTAAATGCCTCTCTACCAGGGGCACACATCGTTTCCATTCGAATTGGTAACAACATCGAAGAAGATGTGAAAAATAGTTTCTTCAAACATCCGGATGAGCAAATCCAAGAAGCTTGTGCTGCTATTGCTGCTGATCCTCTTCTTCAAAATGGATTCAACGCCATTGGATTATCACAAGGTGCTCAATTCATGTAAGGAAAATGTGTTCCATGATATTCTATCACTATCAAAAAATTTACTAAATTTGGCGATGATAAAACGCAAGGTCACGCATATTCAGATGTTAATTTCGAAAGTGTCAAATTTCATTTTGCCATTAATCATCCAATTTCAGTTTTAACTTATGAATCTTTTGAAAACCAAATATATGGACTATGTAGAGTACCTACAGGTGAGAAGCGTATCGATACATATTATTCAGAAATAATTTTCCCAGAAGAATAGGGGCAAAGAAAAATTTACACACCAATCAATTGCTATGAAAAATAGTCTATAAAGAAGAAAGTAACACAAATCATGAAAAAATTAATTGGCGCTCCGGGGCGATTTCATTGATTCCGCTGGCGCATTTGCTTTTTCAGCTGCAAGAAAACCCGCACTACATCATCTGAAGATCTTGAAGTTGAAATATTATCTTCATAGATAAAATTAATTGGCGCTCCGGGGCGATTTCATTGATTCCACTGGCGCATTTGCTTTTTCAGCTGCAAGAAAACCCGGAAAAACTTGCGCACTACATCATCTGAAGATCTTGAAGTAGAAATATTATCTTGATAGATTTTTGTTGAATAGATTGTTTATACGGATTCGATGACGGGAAATCATCAAATGACCAAAAAAGTGGCCTTCTGTAGTAATATTTTGTAGGACAATTTGAAAACTGAAGTTCATTTCAATTGACTTCAAAATCCACTCACACACCCCACAAGTGGTTGCTTGCTCTAAATCAGGGGTTCCCAACCCGTGGTACGCGTACCACCAGTGGTACGCGGGAACGTTTCAGGTGGTACCTACGCGTGAGTGATGACACTTTCGAACCAATCCATGAAGCCTTCTGTACTGAAGCGACACCAAAATACTAAGCACCCTGATTTGATTGGTAAGCCCATTGAATTTTTTAAAAGAAAATCTAATTTTTTGAAGAAAGGAACCCAATCTTTAACGAAGTTTGTCAATACTGATACTAACTTGATAAAGGCGTCATACCTTGCCAGTTTAAGAATTGCAAAAGATGGAAAGCCTCACACAATACGTGAGACGCTTTTACTGCCGGCCGCTGTGAATGTGGTTCAAGCCGTGTTAGGAGAAAAGGCAGCCAATGAAATTAAAGAAACACCATTGTCAAATAACACTGAAAAAAGACGAATTGACGATATGTCTAACAATATTGACGAACAACTGGCTTTAAAACTCCAAGAATGCACTTATTTTGCACTTCAAGTTGACGAAAGCACTAATGTTACAAACATAGCGTGCAATTTGAATATAATGAAGAGATGATAGAAGAGTAATGAATAAAAGTGTAAATTATTACCATTTTAATCTTTTTATTCCTCATTTATTATAAGCATGTTATAAATAAACAGATATCTAACCATTAAATATGAAGTTTTCTCAGGAATTTAGTTGAAAACAAATTGGAACACTTTTAGAAGAATAAATATTATACGTTTATTTAAATATTCAGGTCTGGTGTTACGCCAATATTTCTCAAAAAGTCAAGCGATACGCAGGTGCAAAAAGGTTGGGAACCCCTGCTCTAAATGAACAGCAATTTGAACCTTCAATTCAATGATTATTTAATTGATGTCACTTTATGCTAAGTGTCACGCATTTTGTTACTTCCTCAATTTTTTTTATGAATACATTTTGGAAAATATCTCCCTTATTTTACTATTCAATTATTCAGCTCAAAAAATATATGATCAAGGTGTCGCAATGACAAAATTGACCACTTGAATTTTCAAAGTTGTAGTTGCCAGCACTAGAAGGTGTTTTTCTGTTAACCAGCTCTTCCTTCCCCCTTATGAACGAAAACCTTTTGAATTCGAAACTTTCGTGGGCTAACGGTTAACAAGGCCTCACCTTTCGACGTGCAATTCATAGCACAGATGGAAGATACGCGGTAAGCATCAACACTCTACAGTAGGGATCGAACCAACGTTCACATAGCATTTGATCGATTGAGTAGAACGAACCATTCACGCTAACCAACGGCCTACCGTAATTCATTTTTATGATTCTCAGTTCTCATGATCTATTCTATTAACTGTTTTCATCTCTATTTCAGGAGAGGATTAGTGCAGAGATGCCCACAAGCGAAAGTAAAAAATCTTATTTCATTAGCAGGTCAACACCAAGGAGTTTACGGTATTTTTCACTGTGGACCGCTTACGGAAAAAATGTGTGATTTCATCAGAAGGTCATTGAATCATGCTGCTTACAAACCGTAAGTTATCTGATATTATACATGAATATTCGGCAATAGTTTTTTTGTCTGGTGTCAACAGCACCTCTGTGGTCATTCACCCTACCTTGTACCTTGAATAAATACTGCAAATCGAATAGTATACGTAATTTGAGAAGAAACGTCGCCACCTCTTATAATAATGAGTACAAATTTAGAAAAGCAAACTTTCCGCGGAAGTACGAACTTTGCATGTATTGACTGTACCATAGACCGATAGATCAAATGATGCTTGTACTTATTTTTACGGGAAAATATTTAACATACTGGATCAATGTGTACCCTTACGATAAATGCACACAAACCTATTTTGGACGGCCAATTTTATACCGGTCGTCCAAATTCCAATAGTGAACCACATGTGGGAACGGGACCTGGCACACACGCCGACCGGTGATCGGCGTCGATCACCGGTAAGCATGTGTGCAAGGTCCCATTGCCACATATGGCTCACTATTGGAATTTGGACGGCCAATTTTATACCGGTCGTCCAAATTCCAATAGTGAACCACATGTGGGTACGGGACCTGGCACACACGCCGACCGGTGATCGGCGTCGATCACCGGTAAGCATGTGTGCAAGGTCCCATTGCCACATATGGCTCACTATTGGAATTTGGACGGCCAATTTTATACCGGTCGTCCAAATTCCAATAGTGAACCACACGTAGGAACAGGACCTTGCACACATACCTACCGGTGATCGACGCCGATCACGACGCCGTGTGTGCCAGGTCCTGTACCCACATGAGGTTCACTATTGGAATTTGGACGACCGGTATAAAATCGGCTGAACATGACATCAAAGACAATCCAAATAAATTCTGGGCATATATAAATAACAAAAAAGGTTTCACCAGAATTTCGGACAGAATGTCCTACGAAGAACAATCTTTAGATACTCCTTTAGATATTCTTAATAGCTTTGCTGATTTTTTCTCAAAATCATATATCACCATCGCTCCTACCGAATTGAGCGATGACCATCTATATTCACAAGTCTTGAACATTCATCACTTCGAAGAAAATGAAGTGCTGCTTTGAAACAGATAAAACCGAAAATGACAACAGGTCCCGACAGCATCCCTACACTGATTGTCAGAGATTGTGCATATGTTTTGGCTCGTCCTTTGACAATATTAATAAATATCTGCATCAAAACTAGAACCATCCCAGATCTAAGGAAATTATCTGAAGTTCGGCCAATTTATATAAAAGGGGACAAGTTTGATGTCTGTAATTATAAACCCATATAGATAATATGCAACTTCGCCAAAGTCTTTGAAATCCTCATCTATAGCAGGTTATATCCTTATTCGAGCAATCAAATCACACCACTTCAACATCGTTTTATGAAAGATCGCTTGACAATCACCAACCTTTTCAATGTTCCCCAATATTATTCTGAAACCATTGATAGGAGATCCCAAACTGATGTCAAGGCGTTCCATAGACTTGATCACGGATTACTGCTGTCGAAATTCTACAGGTACGGCTTTTCTGTGACCAACTTTTCATATCATACTTCATAGTCAGGCGTCAGTATGTTATATTCAATGGCTTCAAGTCCGTAGAATAAAGAGCTACCTCGGGTGTTCCACAAGGAAGCAACCTAGGTCCACTTCTCTTTAACGCCTTCATAAACGGCATAGTTGAAGTCATTGACATCAACTGTTTGATATACGCGGATGACCTGAAATTATATTGTAAGATCAATAGCATCGAGAACTGTCTTCAACTCTCCCTCAATCTGAAACGTTTTGAGCAATAGTGTTTTCGCAGTAATCTTCTTTTTAACGCGAGTGAATGTAATGTAATGACGTACACACTAAAAAATCATCCATTTTGATATCAATATTTAGTAAAAGATATTCCACTTCAACGGCCTCTCACATTCCTCGATCTAGGTGTTCCCTTCGACACAAAACTTACCTCGCACCACACATTGCAGCCATTCTGTCTGCTGCAAACAGAATGTATGAATTCATTGCACGAATCTCCAGAGATTTATCAGATCCATCTACATCGAAAACCTTATACTATGCTTTCGTCAGATCAAAATTAGAATATGCATCCATAATCTGGAATCCATCTCATCAGTTGTATACAAAGAAAGTTGAATCAGTACAACGTCGTTTTCTAAAACGTCTCTCTTGTAGATCAGACAGTATCTATCCACCAATTAGATTTCCCCATGATGCATTGTTAGCTAGACATACTATTGAACCATGTACCAAGTGCAATTTGAATTTTAATAATTCCTTTTACTTTAACCCGGTTTGTAAACAAGAAACTGTACAAATTATAAAAAATTTGAAGAATTCAAATTCAGGAGGAGTTGACTGCATCTCAACAAAATTGGTAAAGAGCATAGCTTTGCAAATCGCTGAACCGCTCACAAATATAATAAATTTTCTATTTCCTGAAGAACTTAAACTTGGCATGGTAACTCCAATTTATAAAAAGGTCGATCCTCTCTCAATGGATAACTATAGGCAAATAACTGTACCCAACATTATAAGCAAAATAATCGAGAGAACTATGTACAATAGACTGATACCTTACCTTGACAAACAAAAAATAATTAAGGACTCACAAAACGGGTTCTATCCTGGGAGATCTACTGAGACAGCTATTTGTACATTTGTTGAGTACATCTATAAAAATCTCGATAGAAAAAAACATGTAGGTGCTCTTTTTTTCGATCTCACGAAAGCTTTTGATTGCCTAGATCTAGATCATACTGAAACCAAACTGTACTCACTAGGAATTCGTGGAACTATTTCGAAGTGGTTCATGTCATTTTTGAGACACAGAAAAAATATTGTGAAACTCAATGGAGCACGATTTGAATTGCATAACAACAATCTAGGAGTACCACAAGGATCTATACTGGGTCCATTGATTTTCCTTATGTTCATCAATGATCTGCCAGAGTATATGTATGAATGCGGATTGCTTAGTATTATATGCCGATGTCACAGTGAAAATGAATGTGAATTTGATGAGAAAGTTAACGAACTTCATAAATTCAGTGACTGGTGTGTCTCTAATCGATTAATACTTAACCACAACAACCTCAGTTGTTGGCAGGATTGTTAGTGTCACTATAGAAATAACTGAGGTTATTTTATCAGACAGGTAGGTATGCATATACAGTGTGTCACATATCCCAGAATATTTTTTATTTAGAGTGTGTCGTTGTTTTTTCATAATGCAATATAATCTTTTTCGAGCAATCATAGCTTACTAGGATAAAAGAAAACTTATTATGCATCATTTATTGATGAAAATTATTCAGAAAAGTTCATTGAAGTCTTTCCAGATACCCATATACCCAGATACCCAAATTAAGAATAATATACAGGATGTATCATATCAACTGACCACCCATGTATATGTTTTATTTGAAATCCTATCGAAAAAAATATTCACATGAAAAATTTCCGAAGATGTATTGGTTACAAAATTGATTTTTTTCCTTTTTTCGAAAGAAATATAGCAGACTCAGATAACCAAATCAACATGATTTTCGAAAAAATGTGTTAACCATATAGTGAAAAATTGTTACCAACATTTTTTTGAAATTTTGTGGAACGCCTACATCTGGATTATTGTCGAAATTAGTATCAGTGTATCCTAAACGGGCACTGATCCCAAACATCAGAACTGTAATACTCTTCACTATGGGTGTTTTACTAACCAAGTTGGCATTTTCAGGAGATGATAAGTATTTTCCACTTATTTCTATGAGTTTTTGCCGAATACACTTCACATTCATTCCATAATACTGTGAGAAAACTATAAAACGATCATATTCAAATACTCGTATCAAGTTTGTTACGAAACGAAATAAATCATTCATTATTCGTCTCCTTGCCACTTCTTCATATTTCTCATCTTTTTCCTTCAGTTGTTGCATTTACTTCTCATTGAGTTAACCAAAATATCTTAAATTTAATGACAGAGCCTTCTTTTTCAGCGAAATTCAGAAAATGATAGTACAAGCTACATTCTGGCATGATCCGCTCAACGAGCAAATCTACAGAGATCACAGTACTTTCCTGTCAGATATCAATAAAAAAGTGTTGAATACGGAATATATTCACAATCTTCAGGCAGTGGAAAACTTCGTCATGGTAAAATTTGAGAATGATAGCATGATTGTACCTCTAGAAACTGAATGGNTGAATCATGAAACATTGTCAATCACCTTCAAACAACATCGAACATACTCAACTCAAGGTAACAACTTTGAGTTGACCTCAGAAGGTCATTTGGAGATAGCCGGGCGGTTTGACGTAGGTGCTTTGTGCACTCTCTCAATCGACCGATGTGTGAGTCGGTGGTTCAATCGATTTTCACTTGCTATCGTCCAATCCGTATTAGGAATCACATGTCAAAAGGTTAGACCTCGTTAGTCCTCAGCTCAGTCCTCAGTCAAGTTTCGACTTCGGAGGGTTGTCGTTCGTAAGGGTGGGACAGCTGGTTAACGGAAAAACATATTTTAAACATATTATATGATCAAGAAAAGGCAATGTACAAAATGTTCACCTTTTTTTGACTACTCGACAGTGACATGTTGAGTATTTAAAAACTTATCGTTCACCACTTCTTAGGGTAAACTCCACAATGATGAAGGTATTCTACTGAAAAAAAGTGAATCTTTTTGTTAAATTCATATTTTCATAGTTCTTCTCGTGTATTGTTAGATGACTTTATTTCATTCTTATATATGTTTTATTCACAGGATCGCTTGGGATTGCAGAAAATGGATAAACAGTCAAAGCTCCACTTTCTGTCAGTCGAAGGTGACCATCTGATGTTCGAGTGGACTTGGTTCGAAGAAAATATTCTGAAACCTTTTCTGAAGAGCTGAAACAGGAAAGAATACAAAGTATTCTTGAAGGATCATTCAAAATGGTTCAAAGTTTAGCGATACTTCATTGCATTCCAGAAAATACATCAAGAACAAAATTATTCTTCGAGTTGAACGAGTATAATATTCATAGGTGGAAGTGTTAGTTCATCGCTTATAGATGATAGATATAAAATAAAATTCAGTGACGAGTAGAATCATCAAATATGCAAGATGCATAATCTATTTTACAATTAATTTTGGTATTGGGCTGTTTCAGAAGTTTCGTCCGTTTTTATGCGTCTACTTCTAACTGTAATATCACAGTCTGACCAAAGATAATCCTTTCTTATTTATCATTTCATACCATATTATTGGACGTGTATGATAGATCTTTTCCTATTCAGAAAATCAAATCGAAGCGCAAAAAGCCGTGGGTGACGAAAGGACTGAAAAATTCCACAAAAAACTTACGCTCACTGCATTACATTAGGAAATTCACGAATGACCAATTTATCTGTATATACCTCACGAGGTACCGTAAAATTTATGAATCAACTATCAGGTTAGCAAAGAAAATGTGTTACAGAAACAGAATTGGAGAATCAACTAACAAAATTAAAGAGACTTGGTCCATAATAAATGACCTCAGAGGAAAATCAAACAAAACAAAGGTTAATATCCCATTAAATCCTAACAAAATAAATGAATTCTACTGCACCATTGCTCAAAAGCTAAGCAGCACTATTCGCGTGCTGCGAATCATAAGCCTTTATTCAATCTAGAAAATATTAATATCAATGATTTTGTATAACACAGATATTAATGAATTAATTGAAACCTTGAACGACATCAGAAATGAAAATACCGCTGGGTATGATGAGATTTCTGTAAAAATACTTTTGAATCTACCAGGCAATGCATTG